GTCAGCGAAGCCTCCAGAAATTCGTGCAGCACATTAAATAACGAAAAGGGCATTCTTAATGTCTTGTTAAACTGCTCCTAACGCAGGTAAAGGTTTCTTAATGAACTTTCAAACAATCCATATTTGTGTCGCTCTAAGTACAATTTCCGAACCCAAAATCGGCGCTTCTGTTTTAATCGCAGTTTTAATTTACGCATTTTCGCTAAAATTAGGAAAATTCTCAAAACTTGTTCAGCATTTCGAGTCAACATTTTGTACTGCCAAATGAAACTTTATGAAAACCAACGAATCTGGTGGCCGGAACGATAAAAAGCAAGGTATCTGAAAAAAAATAATGTTGTTAGCAACAAATAATTGTTTAATATAAACTCTTTTACCTCCAATTGAATATTACGTCTTATAAACACGGGTGGTGAGTGGCGCAGCCAAATGCAGCTTCACCAAAACCGGAACGATAAAAAAGCAAGGTATCTGTAAAAAATAATGTTCTTAGTAACAAATAATTGTTTAATAACATATATTTTAACTAAAATTCACAATTATACTTGCTGGCACAACAAAGAATGGCGGGTATATTTGCGCGCATTGAAAATCAGCTGACTACTATGACAGCGTTCAAAGCTACCATTAGGCCATAAAAGCCTTCAAAGTAAAGCAAAGCAAACTAAAGTAAGCAAAGCAAGCAAAGCAAGCGTGCATTGGGCCAATACCTTTCGCTATGCAAAAACTTGTACAAGTAGGTACCCATTGTTACCAAATCGTGTTCATTTGGACAAAAATCCAGTAAAACTTATGAGGAGAGAGCACAATTTTGACTTTTCATTTGGAGGGGAGGTTGCAAATTCGTGCTGGGAAAATTTTATCCAGCAAGAATTTACAAGCAAGATTGTGGCACACGGTTGCATTTTTTGTCAAAAATAATTTGAATCAAAAAATTTGTTAAATTTAAAAATGAACATTCCTGTTGCGATTTTCTAATGAAACAAGTATGTAAATATTTGTTTATTCAATTAATTTAATAAAAACAAGTAAGAAAGTTTAAGTTCGGGCGGGGCCGAACATTAAATACCCGGCGCAAGTATTAAATATATGTTTTTTCACCTTTCCGAAACCTACCGCTACATGGTGTGGGGGTGTATCAATTTTGAGTAAAGTAGCGTCCTTAAACTTCGAAATATTGAAGTTTCAAGCATTTCTGAAATTTACCGTTATATGAAAAGCGGCCGTAATTTTAGTCCGATTTCAATCATTTTCAACGTTTTGCTTTTATGTGGCAAACACAATAACCATACCGAGTTTGGTACAAATTGGTAGAACGGTTACCGATACACATAAATGTGATCATAAGTGGGTGGTGCCACGCCCATTTTCCAAAATTTTACCATAAACGTATTTCTTGGTAAAGAATTGTTGCAAGCATAAATTTTGAATAAATTAGCTTCAATATTTACTGATTTATCGAAGATTTTTTATCTCTCTAAATTACTGTTATATGGGATGTGGGCGAGGTTATCGTCCGGTTATCAAGATATACACATGTAACCATAAGTGGGCGTGGCTACGCCCATTTCCAAAAATTTATAACATTCTTATTTTTCGTCTAAAAATTAGGCCACTTGCTCACTTGGTGAAAACCATTAATAAGGATGTTGATGTGAATAAACTGCTGCAAAGTAACTTATGAGATTTCTGCAATAAGCAGTGTAATTTCCCAACATGTGTATATTTAAAGAAGGTACTTAGTACTCTCAAAAATACTTCACCCTTAAAAGTATCGATACCAAAGAAAAAAGTATTCGATACTACTTCCCAACACTGGTAATTTTAAAAGGGGAAAACAAGTGTGAATACGAAGAGCCTTGGGTAGTCTGCATGACTATCAATTGTTTAATGAGGTATTGACACTAAAGAGTACTTCAATTAATAGTAGCAGACTGCGTCTCGGCATTCTGAGGTCAATTGAGCTACCAACTGTAAATACATATGTAATTTCAGTTTCAATGCTTACTTATCTAAGAATTTATGATTAAGCATTCCAGACAGTGTTGCCAACTTTTGACTTTCAAAAAGCACCAAAAACTTGCTAAAAACGCGATCCTTTTTTCATAACAGTTTTATTTAACAAAAGCAAAAAATTAACAATATTTACAAGAATACATACATAAATCAATACACAAAACTTTTTCGCTCATAACGATTGAAAAGCTTCTACACATACTAGGATGCTCATGCTTATGACGTAATACCGAAGTACTGCACATTGAAACTGGTATATCGCGAGAAAGAAAAATCAAATCGCAACAAACGAAAATGATGCCCTAAGTGGAAATTAATGTTTTCATGATATAACCCCAAATATCGCCAAAAACCGTGTTTTTCATAAAAATTTTTACCAATAATTAGAAAAGAAAAAACGAAATACTTAACTTACCTGCGTACGTACTAGCATTTTCAACGCGAATAGAACAACAACAAGGTGGGTTTGCAACGTCAGCTTTTTATCAATCATGGTTGTATTTTAGTGCATTTAAATTTGTAGATTCTTAAAAAATCCAGTGCTAACGCAGCTTTAAATATTTCAAATTATTTCAGGTTTTTAGTATCTCGGAGTAATTTTACTTCAGAAAGAAAGCACTAAAAAAGGCACTAACCACTAAATAATGCTTTTTTTGCGTTTTAATTTTCAAAAAGCACTAAATCTAGTGCTTAAAGCACCAAGTTGGCAACTATCATTCCAGATATCTTTATGTTTTACCGAATGCATATATATGTATATATGTATGTATGTACGCATCTATGTGTAAATCTCCCACTATTTAAAATTGGACAGATATGTCAATATACATATACATTTATACGTATGTATGTAAATATTTGCCTATATCCCTCAGCTATCAAGCGCATTGAATTATAGTGAATTTGGCATTTATTTAGCCAGGTGTGTTTGCTTTCAATGGTTTTGAATGGAAGTCTTCCTTTCAGTGAAAATGATTACTATAAATATCTATGTATAATGTGAGTAAATCATACATACCTAAATATACTTTAATATACAAATGCACTAACTCATTTTCTTCCAAAATTCATATTTGTACTAAGGACATACGATTATTATTATTAAAAACCGAATAATATAAAAAAAAAAACAATTAATACAGCATTCAATCAGCTACAACATTAAATAAAATATGACACTTGAAATAAATTTATGAAGAAAGAATTTAATTTATTATAACATTTTTCAATTAGTTCATAAAAAAACAAAAAATTTTTGATAGGGCCTTTCTATATTAAGGTAACGATGTGCATGTATATACTCGAACGTATATTAGCTTTTGTTATTTTTTAGTGAAAAAATTAAAAAAAATCTAACTTTAACAGAAGAAAAATTTAAAAAGTAACAGATTCGCGCGAAATTTTCGCATTTGTGCCAAAGCCTGTTCTGTTACAAAAAAAAATTAAATTACTAATGAAGAAAATCGATGGATTAATAAGAAATAATGAGTAGTCAAATGAAAATACGTAAAGATATTTTGTATGAAAAATGAGCAGAAAAGAAAGTTACTCATACGCCACGTACATCTAAGTAACACGCTTCTCTGCTTATATTTCATACAAAAAATCTTTGCGTATTTTCATTTGACCACTCATTACTCCTTTATTTATACCTCGCTTTCGTTCACTAGTAACTTGATTTGGCACAGAACCTGTTCTTTTTAAAATTTTTCTTTTGTTAAAGTTGGATTTTTTTTTTTTAATTTTTGCATTAAATAATAAAAAAAAGTGGAATGATTAATTAATTTTTCAGAAACTATCCTATCGGAAAGTATATAAGGTTTATGGAGAATTTCATTAGCTTTCATTTGCCGTACTTTATATAAAGATTTTTAAATTGGTTCGTAAGATATGAATAATGGTAAATTGCAAATATCACAAAAACGTATCCATAGAAAAAAAAAATTAACTCGATTTTCAGAATTACCGAAAAATTCTACATAGAAATTGGATAGTGGCGTCTGGAGAACAAAAACCAAACTAAAATTTATGATCCAGTGTGATTAATAAATGATCTATTTAAATCGACTTTTGTAGGCTTAACCCTATCATGGAAGGATGACTGTATTTCACATAAATAATACCGGCTATTTGAGGAGCTGTGTGATATTAAAACCCATTTTTATGAAAAGCATTCAAGATCAAACTCTCAGAGTATGTTCAAACATTCGATTAGCAGAGGCAATTAAGCTACTCAACAACCACTTCTATGCTAGTCTGCTAGATACTAGGCTGAGCCGAGGGGTTTTAGCGGAATTTTTAAGCTACGAGAATTAAAATCTCCATCACGACAGACCACTTAAGGGCAGAATATGTATGTACAGTAGGGTGGTCCAAAGAAGTTTAGTCAGAATTTTAAATTTTAAAAATTATTTTATTAAATTTTCTATACGTAAATTTGACTCATTATTTAAATAATCTAATAAAAAATCTATTTTTATTACCCATTTTATTTCAAGTGTTTGGCATTCTACGTGGTTTGGATTGCAAGAAATTCCTCCTGAATCCCGATTTGTACAGCGCCGATGCACACACCATCAATTCCAATGACGGCTCGCTATTTGTTGCAAATGGCATGCAAAATTACTCAAACAGCCAATATTGCGTTGAAAAGATACGCAACTCCTCGTTTGGCGAACAGAAGGTAGGTATGTAGTTCCCACAAAAAGCAACAAATTAGACTACGACCAAATCTGTCTTGCGCTTTTTCTTCCTTTATTTCATATCCGATTTTAGCTCTATACATTCCTTTGCTTCGACTCGAAAGTGGTTGGCAATGACAAGATTCGTTTCAAAATGTATCCAATTGGATTGTTGATCTCATGCTCTTTCTATGCACTTACACTGGGCGTGTATTTATCCATTTCGCGTTTGCGTAATTTACCCGGAAAAATTTTAATCTGCTTAGTAAGTAATTTATTTGCAGCTTATTTGGGCATAGCATTGGGCCAGCTCATACCAACCAACAACGACAATGTGTGCTTTCTATCGGGTGAGTGGAATCCCCACATACATATGTATATATGTATGTACCCGTATTAATGTTAGTGGCATAATAAAATGTAGGTTTTATGTTGCATTCGCAATTTAATTAAAAAACGCATTTCTGCTATCATTACAGGATATTTTATATACTTTTGTTTGATGGCCGCATTCGCATGGATGAATGTAATGTGCTTCGATATCTGGCAGACTTTTGGGTGAGTGCATTAAGTAGAGTACATTTCTAAAGTGAATCTTCTTTGCGTTTGGCTTGGTGGTTTCATAAAAGAACGTGACGTCCTGGTTCTTCAGGATTGTGCTGGTTTCTTCGATCATGGTGAATACAGGCACTAATTTAATTTTTAGCAGATTTTTAATATGAAAAATAGAGCTTCCAAAAGGGCTTTTGTAGGACGTACTTCAAAAAGCCCTTTGGGGAAGTTCTTTTAAAGCTACTTCTTTAAGGAATTTATTTAAGGTTTATATCAAATATTCTTTATTTATTTCATTTGTAATGCTAAATAATAAAAACGTATACTTAAGTACCTTCGCTAAATTGTGATTTCAAAGCCTTTGGAAAATCCTTGAAAGGACTTTGAACTTGGACCTCTACTCGTATGTTATGACCTCAGCTACGTCATGAGGGTAGTTAAAAGCTTCTAGAACACTTTATTGCTTTTTTCGCTTATGCTTGCAAATTACATACAACTTTGTGCGAAACTTTTTGTTGAAAACAACTCAGTAGAGGCGAAATTTGTCGTCATATCTTTGCCAAATATTTAGCCTATAGCTGCGTGGATTTTACCAAATTAAAGCTCAGACTTCTGAGTATAGCGAGTATAGGTCATGGGGTATCTAGTACATAACAACTGTTGATTTACAACAAAATTACTGTTAAACAAATGAACTAACATACGTTTTTTATTCTTAAAAAAAAAATGAATTTTCTACACAGTATGCGTAAACTTAAGTATACCACACTACGCTTTTCCCATTTGAGAGAGTTCAAAGCTCCCAAAACCGTTTTCATAAATAAATTTTTCACATGGTAATGTAGAATACAGCTTTCCGAATTTCAGCCACTACCAATTTTCGCAAACCAGAACCAATCTGGAAAAACGGATGGTATATCGCAAATCAGCATCTTAAGTATACCTCAAAAATATTCGTAATCCATTTTGTTCATCTGGCCTGTTCTGCACGGCACTCTTTGTGGCGGTAAAAAAAAAAATATGAAATGCTTTCCATTTAAAGGCAACCGGTCAGGTACGTGCATGATTTTTAATTTTGATGAAATTATTGTTGGTCCAAATAATGAGACCTGCATTTCTTTCTTTGTTATAAATTTTTTATTGATTAACCGTCTTCAAAAAAAGGAGGAGGTTATCAATTCGTTGGAATATTTTTTTATGTATGTTACCGCATAACTTTGGACCATATTAACTGATTTCTATAATAATTTTTTTAAAGGAAAGGGGGACCACCCCATATCAATTTGGTTTTGATCCGACCATTTCATCATGAAGAAATTAACGATACGCATAAAAATTACTTGTTTTTATAATTTTTTTCGAAATTAAAATTTGCACAAACAATAATTGCGGTATTCACAACGGTGTCGTAAGTGCCGTATTGTTGTATGTCGTAAACTTAAAACGCCCAAATAATGTATTAAGGGGTACCATCAAAGTCATATTATGAATTCTACCAGTGTTAAAAAACGGTTGGTTTTGGTTTCAAGTGGTCTAAACATTTATTTAAGCTTTTAAAGTTTTCGACATACAACAATACGACACTTAGGACACCGTTGTGAATCCCTCAAATATTTGCTTTTTCTTTCATACTTTTTCACAAGAAAGTAGGCACTTAAACTACAATCGAGCTGAATCCCTAGTAGCTAAAATTTTTTCGGAGATATGATTTTTTTATTAAAAATACATTTTTGAGGTACATGCTACAATGTAGTAAATACTTTTCACACGAAGGATTATTTTTATTATTATTAGTTTTAGAGGGGGTACTGCATTAGTTAGGGAGATAGGTAAATTTGTGCACATGCACCTCGCACACCTATATTCTAATATGTATATCAAAAATGTATTTTTTTAATTATGTATAGCTCCAAACAAAAAGCGCCTATTTTCTTGTGAAAAAGGATGAAAGAAAAAAATTTGATTTGAAAAAAATTTCATTTAATAAATAAAAATAATGCAATTTTTTTTCTTTCATACTTTTACGCAAGAAAATAGCCACTTTGAACTACAATCGAGCCGATTCCCTAGTAGTATTTTTTTTAGATATGATTTTTTTTAGAAAGAATACATTTTTCAGGTACATATTAGAAAGTAGGTGTGCGAGATGTACCTACATTTCTACGATTACACTCAGACAGATATGTACATACATACATACATATGCCCACAAATCGATAAGAGTTGTAGTATCGGCCGTTGACGTCGACCACTGATGGGCAGAACAGCACATTTTCACCATTATCGCCGCTTTGCCGTTGATCACAGCGCATCAATACGGATTGTGAGGAATTAATTAATTGCATGCCATACGGAGATTTTATATACATTAAAATTATTTTTACTTTCACCTATTAATTGATAGCTTGCATACGTCTTACGTGGGAATTTGGTATATTTTTAATTGTGATATGAATTGACTGCTGAGTATTTTTCTACGATGAATAACCTTTTTTACTTGTAAAGCGATTGGCAGTCTGAAGCGCATTTTCACAAAAAGTACCACTGTATAACTGATGTTAATGCTGATCTTTTGTGATGTATATCACTAGTATAGGAATTTAATATTCAATTGTAAAGTTAAAATAAACTTGTCTCCGACAAGTGCTAACATCAGAAAGAAGTTTTTGTGAAAGTGCGAGATAGCACTCTTTGAATATACGCCCTCGATATGTAAAAATTTCGAGCCCGGTTCAACCCAACATCAAAAAATAAGAAACGATTTTTTTTCTAATAGCGATCGCCCCTTAGCAGGCAATGGCAAACCTTCTCATAAAAATACAATCGGAGGAGAAGCTCGTAAGCGCCAATCTATTATTATTATGTAGGCTAATTACTAATACTACTTTTTTGGATAATTGCGTTAGTATTTATCTTTTTTCAGTGCATATTTTCCTATTGCAATTGTTTTCTTTAATTAAATAATATTCACAATAAGTGATGGTTCAGTAACAACAACAATCCTTTAACAGTGAAAGCATAAAAATTATCAGTTTAATTTAATTAAGCGACGCTCGATAAACTAAACACGCCGGCTTCCTTTGGCCCCAATTATTAAACAGGTGAATTATTAAGCAAAGCAAAAAATATTTGGTTTATTGCATGATGAAAAGGTAATTGATATGGTGACAGCTGCATATAAATAAGTATGCCCTATTATGTAAAGACATATTTTGTTCAAAAACTACCAAGCCCATCAACAAAAACTGTATTTCAAAACCTAATTCGATTGCCAAAATGTTTCAAAAACCTATTTTAATGGTCTGATTAAATATTCTATCAACTAAACGACCGGATCGACTGCGTCGTATTTCCAATATTCTGATCGAAATATACTTTGTATCAGGTAGAAAAAATAAAGGTCATGGCCTATTTTCATATGAAATATTTGGGGTATTCACAGTTTGTTCCAAAATGGGCTATATGTATAATGTTGATGTCAACACTGCGTATGAGTAACATGGATTTCCATGGATTGTATTGAATTGAAACTAGGGACCGAAAATAAGCATTATTTGGATTTGTTCTGCTAACAAGATTTTTATTTAGAAGAATTTTATTTTTAGATCATTCCAAAATCGATATTTCATGATTTTTATTTTTTTTTTATAATCTTTAACCCTTATACTACAGGCAGAATACAGAAAAAAATCACAAAATTACCACCAAATTTGATAAATTATAAAATATAAATCCATAAATAAGGATTATTCTCGATCGAGAAAACAAAAATCATAAATTATAGTTAAATTTTGTCGGAAAAAATATAAAACCATTTTTCTCGGCTAAAATTTTGCTTTCTATTATAGAGATCAATACCGTTAAGCTCCTGATTGATTATTTTTAAATTTAATGCATAGAATAATAAGTAAACGTTTTTCTTTTAAATTTTTCGAAATTTTAAAAATTTTGACTTTTAAATCTCGCGTTTGAGGATTATTAAAAAACAATTGTGAAAAAAACAGGGACTATATCGATTAAGATCTTTGGGATAAAAATCATAACTTAAACTCTAATATTGGAGTATTCTTTCTTTATTTTATGAGTTTTATATTTTCCTTCCAAGGTTATCGTTTTTTCTAGATTTCTTTGTTTTTTTTTTTTATAAAAACGGTATTTTGAAATTTTGTTCGATCGCAGTTCATTTTTATGATATTAAGGGATTGAGGAATACCATTTTTCTCGAAAAAAATAGATAACCTCAATTAGGAGCATTTGAAAATGACCAAAAAATCAAGAAATAAACATTTTGGCCATCCAATTACCTAAAAAAAAATATTAAATATAAAGACCTACATATGTAGCAAACAGTCAAACGATACTAACGGAGGAAATTTTGGGAAAACATACAAGAGGTGAGAGTAATCGCTTAAGCGAACAGTGAACTGCCTTCATCTAGTATGCTAATGGAAAAATACCACCGCAAGCTTCAGTAAAATTAGCTCCTTAAGCCCTTGACGCCGCCGGAATCAGTTTCATACCCACCTGACTGACCCCAATCTACGCGTGGTGTGTTACTACAGAATAAATTCCCAAAACTTGGACTACTTTGATGGTAACGTTTATTCTAAAGGCAGGAAAAAGCTCTCACGTGTCTCATAATGACTTCAGATCATTAGCCTATTTTCCTTCCTCCACAGACTCATTGACTTGCATATAAAAACAGTACACTTCAGAAGAAATTCTGTCCCTATCGACGTGAAAGTCAGATCAGTGAAATAGCGTTGAATTCAAATGTTTAAGTTTTAGAAGAGTACTTTAAGAACTAAAATTTAATGGTTGGTGTCTTCCTCGATATCGAGAGGCTTTTAATTGTGTCCAAATCTAGGCTATTAATTACGTCCAACTTGAGGCGATAGTAAAAGCCCTAAGTAAGCACGGAATCGAGAACAATTTAGTTGAGCTTATCTCCGACCCTCAACGATGCCTTATAGAAGCTGTAAATGAGTCTCTGCACATTTGCGGGA